AGAATTTAATATTTTTTTTGTTATTTATGTATTTTATAACAGTTATGGTTACTTGTTAAATTTAATTCAATAAAAATTTATAATTTCAAGTTATCTCTATGTATTTTAAATTCAAATTTAGATCTTTTATCCCAAAAAAATTTATACCTTCATTTTATAGTTATTTCGGTAATTAATTTGGTCTATATTTGGTCGTTTATTTTTTATTATTAGTCTCTTAAGTCACTATTTCTCGCAACATGGACTGCTGGGAGCCCTGATAAACCGGTCCTTAGTTAAATTTCATGAATTTCTTCGTAACTATTACTACAATTTTTCATTTTGTTTATAAAAAACACTTTAAAAAACTTAACAAAAATTATAGAATACGTATACTGAAAATGACAATTCAAACGTCAAATAAATTTTTAATAGATCTAAGTTTCATGGCAACCTTTAAGGATATATTAATTAAGGGAACATAAATGTATACGTCAAAGGTTAGATTTAAAGTTTGAACGTTTATTGCAACAAAACAGTAAAATATATAAAAAAAATTGTAAAAACCTTTTTTTTTAGTTATGCAAATATTAAATATTTAAATTAAATCGCTAGTTTTAATTGGATAATTGAAAGAGTGCATAATATTTTTAATAAACAGCCAATTAAAACAATTCAAACCGTCAAATTTTTTTTTTTGCTCTTAAAATTTTAGTTATGACCTAATTAACAAGAATATAAAAAAAATTATGTTTCACAGAAAGTCCAAAAATCACCTCTCAGAACAGCACCGTGAACAGTTTATTGGACTAAGGAAGTGAACATTTATATTGTATTTACGAACAAAATGTACATAAAAAAATCAATCGTCCTCTTGAGCATTGGTATAACTTTGGAATACTTTCTTACTTCTTTGAGAACAGTCTGTACAAAAGGGAATAATATGTTGCTTACATATTAACTTATTTCATAGGTCACAACATGTAGTGGTTTTTCTATCCTTCTTTATTCCGCAATCTTCACATCTACCACGTTGGATTTTCGGACGTTTATCCGGGGGTTTAACAGGGTTACCAGTATAAAGAGTTATCCTTGTTTTTAGTTCTGATCCCAGTGTTTCGAGAGTTGCTCGATACTTAAGCTGATCTTTAGTCAGATCAAGGGCAATTTCCTTTAAAAAATGTCTTCTTAACATTCTGGAGTACGGAATACTGGAATACGACAAAAGCATTTATGGCAGCTATGTTCAAAAATCCAAAAAATACAGTCAGTGGCCATTTTCTTGAAACCGTGTAAGTGCCATTGTAGTACAAAATAATATCTGGTTTTTTATCTTCGGAATCTTCGGAGATCGTAGCATCGTGGTTCATGCTAGATACAAGAAGGACGATCTTGTTTTTCTTGAGCGTATAGCACAAGAGTGTCGTGTGATTCGTAAAGCCAAAAATAGTTAAGCATAACTTTTTTGTGATCAAAAATTCATTTGGAAATTCCTGCTTGTTTTTGCGGATGGTACCAAAACATGTTATCTTGTGGTTATCTAATAAATCTTTTACCAAGGGAATACTTACAAACCATTCCTGCCAGATCGATCTATGAATGATAAAAGTTGTTTTACCATCAGGCTGCTGACGGCATTAAATTTCAAATTTGCTGTATAAAAGGTTATTGAATCTGCCACTAAATATATTTTTATGCCGAACCGCGCAGGTTTACTTTTAATGTATTGACGAAAGGCACATCTGCAACCGGCTATAGTAATGACCGATTTAGAAATAGCTGCGATAAATGCTATAAAGTCTGAATTTCCGGGTGTCCGTAACAAAGCGTGTTTTTTTCATCTAGGACAATGTGGATGGAGAAGAATTCTTGTTTGCATTAGCGTTTATGCCACCGGAAGAAATACCAGCCGCATTTGACACCCTTAAACCACATATGCCACAGGAGGCAAACGATGTAGTTCTATGGTTCGAAGAAAATTACATCCACGGGAGAGTAAGACGCCATCTAAGGAATGGGGTGGCTCTTCGGAATTCACCGTTATTTCCACCAGAATTATGGTCCGTCTACGATTCTATGGAGCTTGGGGTTCCACGCACACAAAATATTGTGGAAGCGTGGCATAGAAGATGGGAAAATTTAGTTGGACGTGCACATGTTGGCCTATACAATATTATAGAAGAATTTCAAAAAGAACAGCGAAATGTAGAAAATATTTGTGAAAATTTGGTTCGAGGTGAAGGATGTTCAAAGCCTAAACAAGCAACAATTGATAGGGAAAAAAGGATTCTACACGTAATGGAAAATCGGTCTAATTTGACCTTATTACAATACCTGCGGGGCATCGCCCACAGCGTTGCTTTATAATAATATAAAAATAAATATGTACTAATTTATAATAAATATTAATTTATATGATATCTATTTTATTTATTTCCCTTATATATAAAAAAGTTGAATTTGTCGGGATTTTAACTTGCCGGGATTTTAACTTGTCGGGATTTTAACTTGTCGGGATTTTAACTTGTCGGGATTTTGACCTGTCGGGATTTCGTCTGTCGGGATTCTAACTGTCGGGATTTTGATTGTCGGGATTTTGACCGGCACCCGTTTTCACCTGCCATCTAGACTTTTAAGCATAAAGACTTGGGCATGGCCAGCTATTTCTTGTGATAAAGCATCTTCCAAATCTTCAAACCCAACAAATTCTTTGCCATTAAAATTCATATGAGGCTTAATTGCTATTTCGTCAAAAATTAATATACAGACCTTCTCTATTTGAGGACGATCTTCAAGATTTTGCCCTAATATCTCAAAAATAAAATCATTCATTGCTGTTTTAATGGGTATTTTTTTAAATAGTAATCTCAACGTTTTTGGGGATGGCAGTGCAAATAATTTTTCCAAGAGCCTATTGCTTTTTGGAAATTGCTTGTATATTACAAGCCCAAAAACTTTATTCTGCAAATTATATCGATTTCCCTGTCCTTTTTTGTCTCATAAATTTATCTGGCTTTTGATAAAGCTTGTGGTGTGCGAGGAAAGAATTGCTCTAATATTATACAATATTGATTCTTGGAATAAATCCTTTAAACAAGTTTTAAAAAAACGAGTTCATTTCTTTAAAATGACATTTTGTCTACGGATCCATTTGGCACTTAAGTATAGTCTCTTTGCTTTAGGCGTCAACTTATTTTGGTATTGGACACCAGCATAAGCCAGCAGAATAAACTCTAAAAAAATAAGCATATGCTGGTAAATAATACAATCCCATAAGTGACACCAGGTGTAGGTTCAATTTTTTCTTATGACTATTACCAGTGATGGGTCAAGAAAGTTTCTTAAAGAAACTAAGAAAATTGGTGGGTTTATTCTAGATTCCTTTAGGCCATATTAGTATCTGTGATACAATTGCTGTGTGCAGTCCCGGTTGCATAGTATGTACCGATTGCGGCAAAGGCCACGTCGTTTGACGATGTGGATCACCTGATGATCTTACATCTCGCCTCTGTTGACTTAACAACTGAGCATATAGGCTCAGGGAGTAATTTGTTTTGATTGTGTTCCACTACACCGAGTTGCCCGACACTGATGAGACCCAATAAAGGTCGAAACAGCTGTCTGTCGGTATTTGAAGTTGGTGGAACGCATTCAAAACAAAAAATTTGGCGAGGTGTAGGTTCAATTTTTTCTTATACATTTTTCACTTTTAAAAATTAAAATCTCCAAAACTTTCAGCCCACAAGGTATACATATGCATATTTCTAAAACCAGAATTACATACTCTTCGAATCTGCAAACAAAAGTTGGGGGTGCAATTCAAAAAAATGGCCGATGACGTCATAGCTTCTACAAAAATGGCGCCAAATATAAAAATGTTACATCAAAATGTGCGTAATAAAAACGAAATCGACGTGTGAATGGATTTTTTTTGAAAAATTACAGGAAATTTTTAAATGAAATTGTTTCATACTTTTGCCGGTCACTGTATAATCTGTGCATTGATGCCTGCTGTACTCATAAGGGAAAAAAATAGTGTCAAGTTTATTATCTGTATCTTGATCAATAGAATTGTCATGATGCAACGTCGAAAGAAGAAGCACAGTTTTGTTTTATTTGGGTTTATATAAAACAAGCGTTATATCTTTTTGAAACCCAAATAAGCTTGACTTTATTTACCTGTTTTAATTCTAAAAATTTTCATGGAATCTGCCTTTTATTTTTTCTCATAGTTCCTACTGCCGTAAGTTTGTAATCTTTTAAAAGATCATTGAATAGGTCAACACTCGTGTACCAGTTATCACAAGTAATATTACTGTTAGTACCTGTTATAGGCTTCACTAAACGTTTTATTATTTAATTAGAACTATTGGTTGCTGCCCTAGATAAACTTCTAAATTTAGTACATAAAAAGATCGTGCATGTTTTCGACAAATTTATCGAATATGGCTCGTATCGGGGGTAATTTGTCAGGTAACCTTCTTCCCGCTCGATTTTCAATATTATAGAACCTTATGTATGACAGTAAGAAACTAAATCTTTTATATCATTTTGTAGTGCGGAAAATATCGATACCGGTACCATTGGATTTCCATAAATCTTCTAAATTTTGTCGATTTCATTTATAGAATCCAGCAATATATAATAATATATTATATATATATATATATATATATATATATATATATATATATATATATATCCTTAATCATTTGAAAATCCATAAACAACTCCCAACATTCAAGAACCGATTTGGCATTTTTACCATATTGTTTAACCCATTGTATTTTAGGGAGGGAAAAATCTTCATCCACTTAGTTGATTTATCCTTTCCAAGGTAATAGTTCCGCTCATAAATAGTTTCATCTTCTATATGTTCTGTTGCAGCTTTTTCATCGTCAAAATCAATATTTTGATCTTCTGTTTGTTCTGTAAAATGTTTTTTTTTTTGTAAATATCATTTTCCATACACTTGTTTTCCGTGTCAGTATTCTCATTTACACTTATATGATCAAATTCACCTTTACTTTCTGAATCAACATAGTCTCCTTCACTATCAATGTCTTTCCCTAAAGCTAAAAGCCGTTTTTGTTTTATTTTATAATAACCCTTTTTTCTAAAATACATATTTAGTTATGTTTCTAATACATAAAATAATATAAATCTACATTTACATTAACGGTAACGTGAGGTGTACGAAACCCCACAGCACAACTATTGACCACGGTCTTGTCTGTTCGAACGCAAAACCTGAACTGATTGATCTTGCATATGACCAAACCACTTCTAGAAAGGTATAGGAATTAACGCACCAATTTACACAGAAAAACAATAGATATACTAGATATGTGTGGGGTTATATATACCCCAGGTGACCGACGCCGCGTTAAATTCTCTTGACAATATATTAAAAGTCTACTTGATGTCATTAAGAGTATACACCCAATGTCAATGCTTTAGAACCGTTTTTAACAAAGAACATTGACTGGAGCTGGCGTCTAGCTTCAGACCAAAACTTTGCCCTGATGTTTTTGTGAAGCAGCATTTTGAAAGTTTTTTGGTGCTTAAGTAGCTTGTCCTATTAACACTGTCGAAAATCTCGTCAAAAAACTTTAGAACTGCTGCTGTTCCCGTAAGTAAAATTCCTTCAGGAGTTTAATTAATATTTAACATTTAATAATGTTTTTTGGTATTACCTAATCTTATAAAAAGATTTATTAATGTGTGGCTGAAATCTTGGGCTGCATATGAAACATTAATTTTTTTATTTTTCAGGATTCACATGGTATTGTGATGTGATCTTGTGTATAGCTCTCATTTCTCCTGGCATGTTGTCCATTTTGTAGAGCGTATATATATCATTCCAGGAAGCAACCCATTTTTTATCTTTCTTCTCCCATATTATTAAATTGTTTTTTATGCCCTTCAAGGTGAGGTCGGTCATAAATATGTACAATTTTTTTATACTCTATGCTCAATGCTATGGTATTTTTTATCAAGGCTTTTATTATTCTGCACAAATAAATACTTTTAATGGCGCTTTTGCTAAATCCATAATAAACTGGCTGTTTCCACCTGCCGTATACACTTTTAAGCATAAAGACTTGGGCATGGCCAGCTATTTTTTGTGATGAAGCATCTCCCAAATCCTCAAACCCAACAAATTCTTTGCCATTAAAATTAATATGAGGCTTAATTGCTATTTCGTCAAAAGTTAATATACAGACCTTCTCTATTTGAGGACGATCTTCAAGATTTTTCCCTAATGATCCAAAAATAAAATCATTCATTCCTGTTTTAATGGGTATTTTTTTAAATAGTAATCTCAACGTTTTTGGGGATGGCATTGCAAATAATTTTTCCAAGAGCCTATTGCTTTTTGGAAATTGCTTGTATATTACAAGCCCAGAAACTTTATCCTGCAAATTATATCGATTTCCCTGTCTGGCTTTTGATAAAGCTTGTGGTGTGCGAGGCAAGAATTGCTCTAATATTATACAATAATGATTCTTGGAATAAATCCTTTAAACAAGTTTTCAAAAAACGAGTTCGTTTCTTTAAAATGGCATTTTGTCTACGGATCCATTTGGCACTTAAATTCCACAGCTTACCACCATGAAACCATAGATGCTTTGGAAAACTCTCATAAAACGTTAGGGTCTTATTTGCGTATTCAAATTTCAAAACATCGCGATACGTGGAGTTCGTGGTTACCGTATTGGTTGTTCGCATACAATACTACGGTTCCTACGGAAACACGTTACACTCCGCATGAATTAGTTTTTGGTAAACTCGCCAAACTACCCTCTCATGTCACGCAACAACTTCCTCCTTTATATACATTTGATAACTACCCCTTAGAACATCGGTATCGTTTACAAACTGCATGGCAAGATGCACAACAGCAGTTGTTAATATCCAAACAAAACCGAAAAATTCGTCACGACAAGCAAAGTCGACCTGTAACTTATCAACAAGGTGATAAAGTCTTATTACTAAATAATAATTCTGTAAATGAACAGGAACCTTTGTTTAAGGGTCCCTACACAGTTGTACAGGGCACGAAACATTGTTATTAAATTAGAAAATAAGTTATTAGAAGTTCATAAGCATAGGGTTAAACCATATTATACATAATCGCTTAAGTTTATATACATTTATATTATGATTAGGTTAAGGATGAAAAGAAAAAAAAGGTAAGAACAACTCCAGTGTATTTTTTTTCTTTCTTTCCCAAGGGAGATGTAGTGGAACCATTAGGGTCATTATTTTATATTTCCGTAATTTTATATTACAACATTATTGGCTTTAAAATACAAGTTAATAACTTTATAATTGCTGACTTTTATTAACAAATAATTCAATGAACCCTAGGTGCGCCACGTCATTTCCCTGAGGTAGCATATTTTCATATGCACCTTATAATTAATAATCAATTAGTTAGTTAGTAAGATATTAGATATCATTCGAATGATGTTAACGTTGCTTGTGAATCTTTTTATACTCAGCTGTATTTAATTTTTGATCAATTTGTACCTAAATTTAAAAATCTAAACGCAAATATCCAATATGGTACACTGTTGAGATAATTAACAATATAAAGATTAAAGAACAACACCACTTAAATTTTAAAAAACATAACAATGAACAATCTTTAAATGAGTTTAAACGAATAAGAAAAATTTTAAAATCTCAAATTTGTAACGCTTACAAAAACTACATTCAGCAGACTGAGGACAACATCACATTGGAACCTAACAAGTTCTGGTCATTTATACGTGAAAAACGGGGTAAATCTCGAATACCAGCCAATGTCTTTTTTAATGATATTCATTATGATAGTCCCCAAGATGTTGTCAATGGATTTTCTGATTACTTTGGTAGTGTTTATTCTGATGGTGATGAAAATTTTAGTATAAATTCTGAGTTTTCACTTAATCCCAACATAAATATTAAATCATTTTCTGAGCAGCTTATATTAAACAGTATATCCAAACTAAAAAACAATCATTCAAGTGGTTATGATCAAATACCAAACTTTTTAATTAAAGATTGCTCTTTAATATTTGCATATCCACTGCTAATTTTGTTTAATATGATTTTGTCAACTTCCACCTTTCCTGATTTATGGAAAATAACTAGAATCTGTCCAATTTTGAAATCAGGCAATCCTTGTGACGTTAAAACTATAGACCAATAGCGATTCTATCTAATCTTGCGAAGGTCTTTGAATCATCTGTGTATACTTGCATCTACAACGGAGTTAATAAACTCATTTCCACGCAACAACACGGATTTATGAATAAACGCTCGACTGTAACAAATCTTATTGAATTCACGCAATTTGTATCTACACAACTGGATAAAAAACTTCAGGTGGATGTGATTTACACAGATTTTTCAAAGGCTTTCGACAGGGTAGATCATAATGTTTTGCTCAATAAGTTGTCATATTTTGGTTTAAATAATTCTCTCATAAATCTGTTTCAATCCTACTTCTGTCAGCGCAAACTATTTGTTTTCTATAATGGATATTTTTCTAGTTATTTTTATGCCACTAGTGGAGTGCCACAAGGCTCTAATCTGGGACCTCTTTTGTTCATTTTATTTATAAATGACTTGTCACTGAAACTTAATTGTAATCATTTTTTGCTGACGATTTGAAAATATTTACCAGTATCTCTGATACTACTGATTGCGACCTTTTTCAACAACAATTGAATATTATTCTTAGATGGTGTGAAGTTAACAAACTCGATCTTAATGTATCTAAATGTAAAATCTGTAGTTACAGTCTTAAAAATACGCCCATTATATTTAATTACACATTAAATAATACCATACTTTTACGCTGTCATGAAATTCGTGACCTTGGTGTATTTTTTGACAATAGGCTCTCATTTACAACTCATGTCAACACTGTTAAATCTGCTTTAAAGCTTTTAGTATTTATAAGTCGAAAATTTATAAGTCGAAATTCTGTAAGTCGAAATTCTGTTAGTTTTTCTAACATCCAAGCTCTAAAATCACTGTTTTATTATCTCATTAGAACAAAACTTGAATATTGCTCTCTCATCTGGTATCCGCATTACAATGTACATATTGACTCTATCGAAAAGATACAAAGAAGATTTTTAAAACTGCTTTCCTACAGAATTGATCACGTCTATCCCGCTAGAGGATATGATCATAATATTCTATTATCTAGATTTAACTTTGAAACTCTTTTAGTTAGGCGCAAAGTTATAAGTTTAAAATTTTTGTGGAAACTTTTTAATAATCAGATTGACTCTAGTCACATTTTAGGTTTTATTAATATTTTAATACCCCGCTTAGGAGCTCGAAATATGAAACTATTTTATTGTAGTTTTTCGAGAACAAACGTGCATTTGAAATCTCCAGTACAAGTAATGTGCAATAACTTTAATTCTATATGTGGTAACTGTGATTTGTTTAATTCAAGCATTAGGGAAATAGTTTCAAGTGTATGTGAACAATGATATATGTACATATATTTTCTATTGTTATAATATTATTTAATTTTCTTTATTTTTTCCTTATTGTTAAGCTTAGGCATATTAAATATTACAAATGTTGTTATAAATACATATGTTGTCCTGTAATTGGAATATTGTATTCTGTTGGGCAATAAATTATTATTATTATTATTATTATTATTATTATAAGATACAAACAAATAATTTTCTATAAACTAAATGAAAGATTTCTTTCAAAAATGAAAATATAACAGGTTGTCCAAACTAAATATATATATGAGATACAACTGAACAAAAAATAAATAAATAATAAAACAAATAAACAAACAAAAACACACAAAAGAATACAGGGGTGCCCAAATAGCCCCGAGATGCCCAAGTAGCCCCGGTTTACGGTACTATAAACTAAATAATAACCATATTATTTTCCTGAGACTCTTTGGTTTGATTTGGACTTAAAATATTTTGAAGAATCTAAAATAACACATTAGTAACATCAAAAAGACACAAAAAATCGCCGGTACACGTAAACTTAATTATTGGGCGTAGAATCCAGTGGTGTAATCAGTTTTTTAAAGTTAGCTCGTTTTCTTAAGATATTTAATATTTAAGTTTTTGT